ATCGAAATTTTTTCTTCTTTAAGAAAAAAATTATCTATAGAATTTATCGAAAATGTTCTAAAGAAAGAAAATTTATCAAAAATGTTCTAAAGAAAGAAAATTTATCGAAAATGTTCTAAAGAAAATTTATCGAAAATTTTCTAAAGAAAGAAAATTATTGAAAATTTTTTAAATTATCTATAAATAGAAAATTTATCGAAAATTATCTATAAATAAAAAATTTATCGAAAATTTTCTATAGATAGGATTTGTGTAAAAAATTTTCTTTAGAAGAAAATTTATCAACATTTTTTCTTCATTAGGAAGGAACTTTATCGAAAGTTTTATATTTATTTTATATTTATTGAAAATATTCCATAGATGGAAAATTTATCGAAAATTTTCTATAGAATATAGAAGAAAATTTAACGAATTTTTGATAAATTCTTTAATTTTTGAGAATTATTAATTATGCTTTGATTCTGCCCACCGTGCAGCGACAAGAAAATATATTAGGGTGTCCCCAAAATGGATGTTGCTGATGTTCCAACCAAAAAATAAAATTTAGTTAATTCTTAGATACCATTTCCCAAAATTTTTATCCTGCCGTCCATAGCTGGATGAAAGGATAAAAAGGTCCTTTTTTAAGGTTTTTATGACTTTTATCATTTTTTTGACAAATAAACTGTATGCATTGAAAGCGTCGTCGTTCCTTTTAAAGAAATATGAAAAAATCATAAAAACCTCAAAAAGGGACCTTTTAGCCTTTTTAGCCCTACAAACACATGTACATATGTTTATAAAAGTTTAAAACAATAGAAAATTATGTTATAAATTAATAAATAATTTAAATTAAACCAACACTTAATTTCTCTTGAAACTAAAGTAGAGCAAAAAACACATCGATCAAATATGTCTGTTTATATGAATCACCAGTAAAGCAGACACGAAAAATAAAAACAAATAAAATTTCATACAAAAGAATAAATTAGTAAAATTATGTTGTCTTAACATAAAATAATCCGTTAATTTCATTTACAACTGTTGTTGTGTATATAAAGCAATAAATCTTTTTCAATTCTTTATATAAGACATGATAAAGTTCTCAGAAAAAAAAGGGAAATATTCCATATTTTGGTTTCATTATTTGTACAATTCAAATATGTTATCTAATTAAAAAAATGAAAGAAGAAAAAATATCAGACAAAAATTTAATATTTCACATAAGGCGTGTCCCATTAGCATCTTTATTTCATTTTATAAATTTCTATGAATTTTTGTTATTTTATAAATTTATTGCTGTTTTAAAAGATTTTTGCTTAAAATATACATTTAAAATCTGTATAAAATCAATCCATTCTTCCTTAAGTGTTTTGTTTTTTCTGTGAGATTTTGCCGATTATTTTTTCTATTGAATTGTTAATTGCGTTGCTCTTTTCAATATTTATTCGTGTCGCAATAGTAAAATAATATTTTTTATTTAGGAAAAAGAACATAAAATATTTAAATCAAATAAACAAATATTATGTTAATGATGTTGATGTTTATTATTTTATGACACTTTTGATGGTTGATTGATATCAATTTTATTATTCTTTTTTTATTTTCTTAATAATTATTCATATTTTGTTAATAATTTGCAGAAATGGTTGGATTATTTCGCAATAAAATTTTTGATTTATGAGAAATGGCGACCGGTAATAAAAAAAATTGGAAAATAAATAACTAGTTTTGTTTTAGTATGTCTATTAATTAAAAAAAGTCCCAGGTGCGGTATTGAATGTAGAAATTATAAGAGGAGAAATTGTTTACAATATCCCCATATTTCGATATGAATTGAACATTTTAAAATTTAATTAAATATTTATAATTAAATAAAAACAAAAATAATTGTTTATTCAAGTTTTATTTGTGATTCGTTTGCTTATAAAGGCTAAAAGGAGTTACAGCAATAAGACATAGGCTTTAAATAGGGTTTTAGCCCAACTATTCTAACTTAAGCTTCAAATTATCTAGTGGGCTTCTTCGGACAAAAAGTCAAACATACCACTACTGGGAGTTAAGCGTATATATTGCTTGGTTATAAGTAGTGCCATGAGCAATACGTCAACCAAAGCTCTGACAAAATTGCTGCATATCGAAGGAGTACTTCTCAAAAGACTAGGACTGATCCAAAACTAATCCCAATATGTGGAAAAACATTGTGATGTCCAAGGTGAGGACCACGTAATCCATCCATACATTACATCAGAGTAATTCCAAAACTACTCACTTGCTAAAATTATGGCATCCGCCATGTGGTCCTATGTAATGCAGGTTATAGACAATATTGTATTCCAAATAGTAAATATAGTCCATGCCTGCATTCGGACTGCTAAATGGATCATTTACTCCAATAATATTTAAAAGGAAGTAGTTTCAAAAACATATTGGGTTGTTATACATAAATACCAGATAAGTCTGTTCGCATACTGAAATCATGAATGGTCGAAAACATGAAATCTTAATTTATAGAGAAAAACATTAACTTACTGATGGAAGAAAAATGAATTCGATTACACCGCCCAACAAAAAGAGAAAAAATTGTTAGACATCAACCAGATGAAACTATAAATTTAATGGAGAATAATTGCGTTGTTAGTTTTTCATTTCGTGATCCTGTGTCCTTTTTAAAGGACTTCAAAGTTTTAAAAAGAACATTTTTCAAAAAATATTTTAAAATATTTCTACTGATCAAACAATGCCAAATTTGATGTCAAGAGAACAAAAGAGAAAAAGAAGAGATTTAATGGTTTCCACCAGGGTATAAACGTTTGAGTGTTATATAGTTTTCACCAATAAAACATAACCTTACTTTGAGGTGAAACGAAAGCACTCGGTTAATGTAAACAAGGCATAACTTTAAACAGCTATACGAAGTAATACATAACACCAGTGCAAGCGAGACGCAAAACTGTCCAGGCAACAAACACAAGCCTGAACGCGTTTAAGAAATAATCGCGATGACGCGAGATTTGTTCCCCAACTTAGACCTGAATTACGACTAACAGTCAGAAGATATGACGATATCAGCTGATAAATACTGATTATACTGTAAGAGAGGGATTATCGGTATTGAGAGAGCGAATGTACTTGCCATAATGATAAGGGAACTGATATAAGTTAAACTAACGAATGTAAAACCGTTTGACACAACAAAGGTTGAATTAAAAAACAAGTAAGAAAGTATAGTCGGGCGAGGCCGACCATATGATACCCTACACCAGTTATGAATATTAAATGTGATTTATTTTTCATAGTAAAGCATTTATTTTCAATATTCCCTTGTTCCGATACATTTAAGCAATTTATGGATGAAAAACTAATTTTCTGAAAGAGGCTTTATATGGGGGCTAGGGGCAAATATAAAATTTTGTGAATATATTTATATTTACATAATATTTTATTGTGCTGAATTTCATCGCGATATTTGTGTTTATAAGTTAATTTGGGACATTCAAGTAATTTTCTGAAGGGGACTTTGTATGGGAGCTAGTATCAAATGGGGCCCGATCTTTATGAAATTTGACAGGGTCATCAAGACTTCTATAAAACTTAGTTGTGCCGTATTTTATCGATATATCTGTATATTTAACATAATTATGAGCTCAGAAGCCCTTTTCGGGGGGTTCTGTTCTATGGGGCTAGGTGAAATAATGTACCGATTTTAACCATTTTCAATAGGCTTCGTCCAAATAAAACGTGCATGCCAAATTTCATCCAATTATCTTGAAAATTGCGACCTGTACCTTGCGCACAAGGTTTGTATGTTACAAACATCAGCACAAATCCAATATACCCTCCCCACTAAAGTGGTGTAGGGTATAACAAAGTGGGAAGGACCATAAAAATCCTATAGAGAGACCCCAACGACAGGAGGACGAAAAGTTTCCTTAGAAGAAATGAGTTCGAGGTTAGTACGATGATGATATGTATTCTGAGTTGAAGAAGGAGACAAACATGTCTTTGATTCCGGGAGTAAAATTTGTTTGAGTTTGAAAAACTTTTCTTTGAAAATAATTTCCTAAACTACATGATAAATGTGGGACAAGACAAGTAAGCTCAAAATTCCAGTTGTATTTTTATAAAGTAGAAAATAAAGTCGATGATTACAATTAAAATTAAATCTTAACATATCACTAAGAAGATGGATTTACCCAGAGAATATGTACTTCGCACCGCAAACTTTAATTTTTAATAAAATGGGTTTTCTTTAAATTAAAAGTCTTGTGGATGAGTTATAGAAATGATTTTTTTTATTTCAATCGATATCGACATCGTTTAAATGTTTGCTCCGGAAGCGCTGGTGCAAATGAAATTGCTAGACACAATTTTCTATGACTTGAGCAAAAGAAGCATGTAGCTGTTCTAATGAAAAAGATCTTACAATTTAAATTAAAATCACTTTGATAAAAAATTTATATATAGTTTGCAAATGTTGTTGAAATGTATAACTCACCAAAGCAAACTTCACTCCTAGTCATGAAAGGTCAAAAAACATATTTGGGAATATTATCAAAAAAAAAATTTCCAATTCCACTAAAACAATAATATTTTTACAAATTAATAAACACTATAAAAAACAAACCAACACAAAACTCGACATTTTAACAAAAAAATTTTAATTAACAGCAAAAACAAAGAGAATTAATGAATTTGCAAAGTGAAAAGTTTTTTCAAATGATTTCAATAAAAAAAAAAACACATAAAAACTAATTTTATGATAAAATACATGTTTCATTTAATAATTGACTGCAACTAAAAAAATGCAAACAAAAATATATGTAAATCAGCAACAACAATAAATAAAATAATACTGTGATAATAAATGTACACAAAACTTTAACATCTACAAAACAATTATTTTTCTTAATAAGGTTCAGGATTTAACTATAACAGCTTTTAAAGCTTTTCTTTACACCCTCACATCCTATAACTGAAGAACTTATATTCGAATTTATAAATAAAAATTCAACACTTACCAACCCAACTTCGTACTTTCGGCAGATAATCATTCCAAAATGAGCATCGTTTGGCCAATGGACCTCTTTGTAGTTTTTCAGTTTTTTCATCTGTACTGAAGACATAATAAACAGGATCTTCTTTAGAGAAATTTGGCCATTCTTCACCATCAACAGCTGGATTACTGTAAAAATATAATAGTTTTACAGTTATTTTTAAAAAAGCTCAATAATATGTGTTATAACTTTAAATTCACCATGAATAGATGGTGGTAGTTTTTAAGTGAAAGAGCTTTTATGTTAGTGGTAAAAATTATAGGTTTGTATAACAATTTTAGTTGGTTATTGTCTACACTAAGTTTATATACATATAAAAGCTTTTTTTGTACATTTACACCAGTAAACATTTTGGTTGCAAGTTTAAGGAAAAGAAATTCGTTTTGACCACTAAGCCTATTAGAGATATGAATACTAGAGATACTCTATTATAGAAATGTTTACTTGATTTATTTATACCCTACACCACTATAGTGGGTGTTTGTAGAACCCAAATATATTGCTCCTACATCCACCTTAAAGTATACCAATCGGCTCAGAATAACTTTCTGAGTCGATTTAGCTAAGTCCGTCCATCCGTCCGTCTATCCGTCTGTGTGTTCATGTAAACCTTGTGCGTACTCTTTTCAAGATAATTTGATGAAATTTGGCACATACCCTTCTTTTGACCCAAGGACGAAGGATATTGAAAATGGTTAAAATAGGTGCACCATTTCGTATAGCCCCCATACAACCGTACCCCCGAGTAGGACAAATATGTTAAATTTTATTATATCACTTCAAAAAACTTAGTTCTATATAAATCTTAATGATACTGCTGATTCTCGTAATGATCGGCCATCATCAAAGAACCCTTCAGAAAATGACTTGATGGTCAAAATTCACTTATAAACAGTAATATCACGATGATATTCTGCATAAATAACTAATGTAGACGTAAATCCCTCTACAAAAATGTATAAGGATAGGTGCATATTAACCCCCTGCCCCTTGCAATCCCTCTTTTAGAAAATTCCTTTTTTTGTCAACAAATTGTTAGAATATTTCTGAATTAAGATAAAAATGAAATTAAATACTTTATTATTACAAAAATAATCAACATTTTTAACATAAACACTGGTGTAGGGTATCATATGGTCGGCCATGTTTGGATTTGTACTGATGTAGCGCACAAACATAATGCTCTAAACAGCATATTGTAACAATTTTGTAATTCGATTAAGTCATGGACACGTCCGTCTGTCCATGTAAAGCTTGCCAAGAAAATACAGGACGAACTTTTCAAGAAACTTTGATGAAAAGTGAGAGCGATTTATATTAAGATCACTTGAACAGTTATGATGGACTGGGAATCATAATGAAATTTGACCACCTTAAACATTGAACTATATTTGGCTCTATAAAGCATTTTTACTTAAAAATGGTGTAGGGAATCATATGGGCGACACAGCCTGACTATAATTTCATAGTTTTTTGTTTTATATGTATGTTGTTGCAACTTAAATCAAGCAAATTGTTGCAAAACACGTTGACAGCTAAACTCTAGGGATTAGTTTTCTCTTAAGAATCTTTTTTTTTTTTTTGTATTTATCTACTGAAAAGTAAAATGTATACAAATCATTAGTTTTACTTTTGGGGGGTTTGAAAGAAGGAATTTAAAATATTTTAAGAAAAAATAAGCATATTTCTTAAATTAAAATAGAAAAAATGATACATGCACATACAATATTTATTTTGCAATAATATGGATTTAAGCAAAACTTACCCCGTTTTTGCAAATTCAATAACTGAATTGAGCATACGTTTTCCCAACTCTCGTTCTACGGCTCGATACTGCAGTGATGTATTTAAGGGTTGACCAAAGAAGTACTCGATTTCATCGCCGTGTAAAACGCCCATCCATTCACCCCACAAGGAGGTACTTGTGCGCTGTAATAAACAAAAATAATAGAAATTATTACAATAATCCATAACTACTTCAAAAAAACAATATAGACTTTATATTAAAACTTTCAAGTGTGTCCGTCTGTCCGCACAAGTATCTTTGTTGAATTGAATGTGTACTTTAAATATTGAGGATACAAGATAAATTGGAGTGATAAACATTTTTTTTCTTTTTATTCATACATATTCATATGTACATACATATACATACATACATATGTACATACATATACATGTATATATTTATTTTTGCTTCTTTTGTTTTTATGTTCATAAGTAAATTGCTTCAAAATTGGCACAAGTGACTCGACTCTGTTGCTTGATTGCTTTGCCTGCCTTTGCTTGTTTGTGTATGTCTGACTGCATGTTTGTCGTTTGCCTGATTTGCTTCATTTTTTATGTGTGTTAAATGGAAGGCTTATAAGTCTCAACTACTAAACTCTAGGTTGATGAGAATTTTCCTCTTGTTGCTGTTGTTATTGTTGCAGTTGATGATGCTACTGTTGCATTTTATTGCAAACATAAAAGGACTTTAGAGAAAACTTTATATATGTGTGTGAGAGAGTGTTTGTAAACTTTTTTTAAATAGCAGCATAATATCCAAACACTTATAAAGCAAAAAAACAGAAACAAAAACAATCTTTGATATAAACATGTATAAGCATATTTACAGTGTGTAACAAATAAAAAATTCATAATTAGTTATTTGTTTTATTTTAAATAAATACCGTAAAAAAATGTTTAATTTTCGTTTATTTAGCCCTAGTATAATGGCTAAGATTATTTTAGTATTTAAACTCTACTTTGTAAATTAACTTCATTGGATCCCACTGTTATGTCCTCTCTATGCGCTATTTAATATTTATAGTAGTACTTGTGCTGCTGCTAAAGTGTTTTTTTGCGTATATGTATATTAGACCGACTCATAGAGAACAAGTAATTGTCTCACCATTCTCAAAATATAGGTTGTTAGCTGAACCATAAAAAGGACACGATTTTTCAAAAAACCTTTCGATAGCCGTTAGCGTTAGTTATTTGGACCGATTTCAAAAATCAGTTATTTTTTACATTCTTTTGAAGAACATATATTTGAGTTATTATTTGAAAGTTATATCTAATAGTTTCCAGCTCGCGAATAGCTTTTTGGAAAGTTAAAGGGAAAGGAAGTTAAATTTTGAAAGGGATAAGAAATACACGACGTCACATTCCATACAGAGTGTGTCGGTCTAATGTGCATGTGTATTAGTTTTTTCTATTGTTAAATAAAGTATGCCACAGATTAAAATTTCTTCCTTCCATTTTATTTTTTTTTCTTCTCTTTTTATTTTATTTTTTGTAGATTCTTTTAATTTTTTCTAATATATTCATATATATTTTGCTGTTGTTTTTTTTTCTCAAATGTTTGTTGGATTTAAACAATGTCTGACCTCAAAAGAAGTGTTTAATTGTTTTAATGTTTTGCTACAACATTTATTATTGTTTACCGTAAAGTAGCAAATAAAACAAATTCGCCTCTATATATTAGTATGAGCAAAAAGAACAACTTTAATGCAAAAGTAATTTTTTCGATAAAAAAAATTTTATTTAAATTAATGAACAAAAAATAATTTACTTAAATAACTCCTAATAAATTCTATACTAGAGTATTCTTGCTAAATAAAATAAATTTTGTTAAAACTAAACTAAATACTTTTAAACGACAAATTATCAACATAAATACCAAAGTACAATTTTCTAAAGAATTGAGCTGGCAGAATATAAATAAACTTCTCAGGGCATGATATTTCAAATTCCAGATGTGATTGAAAGGTCAGATTCGCATTCAGCTCTACTACATCCTTAAGAAATGTAGAACTTGGTTTCAGGGTTTCTATTTTTTTCAAATTTTATCGGCCTTCGTAAAGTTTAAGTAGGATAGCTATGCGTATGATGATTAATTATTTGTATTGCAAAATACTCATACGCCATCAGTTTATTAAAACTATTTGGAGTGAACAAATTATAATCCAGCAATAATAAAACGAAGTACTTCCAAAAGAATAACATTTATCACCACTTTAAAAGTAGCACAAATTTAATTCTTTTACCTTCTGAGGAAGTAACGTTTAAAGACTCCCAAAGAAGCGAAAATAATTCTATTTTTTCAATGTTGAAGATATATTTTTTGTTCTTAAATTTTTATGGGATAAAAATGTTATATTTGGGCTTTTGTATTAATTATGTCTATTATCCGAATTAATGTTAATATTATTTAAGTCAAATTAGTTGTATTCTGTAATACTACAATTTCAATTCCGAATAACTTCCAAAAATGACTTCAGAAATAGTGAATTTGAAATCAAATAAAAAGGACATCCCTCCTATGACAAGCCTATGTTAAAATCATCACTTCTTCAGGTCTTTTTTAGTACTTCCATAGAGTAAATTCTACATCTTTTTCGCTTCTTTGGAAGTTCTTTTTTGCTGGGTTGCAGTTAAAATCCAAGAAATATAAAAAATTTTTGTAAAAACCGTGGTGCCACTAATTAACGTGGCCTTATCGCGCTGAATTTTTCCAGAATGCATTTCTATAATTTACAGTATAAGTCTAGAGGCAGAGACGGCACTATTCGTAACATTTGTAATATTACAGAATTTTATCTTTGGAACACAAGTATACAGTTAAAATGACTAAATGATGAAAATGTGTCAAATTGATGGGTGATACGACTTTTTTATTTCCATATTCGGAATCATCACACCAAATAACATTGTGATTAGTGAAATTGATTTAAAAAGTTTTTTCATCGTTGGCCTGCCTAATGTTTATTGCTACGATTAGGATACCTATGCGTATGAGTATTGTGCGTTTTTATTGTACAATACTCATACGCCTTTAGTTATAACACATTTTATTAATTATTATTAAAAGTATTTGGAGTGAACAAATTATAAATTAAATGCTCTTATATATAAAATACATTTACATTTTTAATTAATCAAATAAATATGATTTTTTCCTTAAGAAAACTTGATCACACAACGTTGAATATTTCTATAAAAAAGTTGATCGAAATCTGAAATTTTCTATATAGAAAAGTTAAACAACTTCTGATTAATATTGGAAATGATAAGTTTCCATTGTTTATTTAAACGTTATTTAAGAAATTGTAAAATGATAGAAAACATTCAAAACCAATTTTTACTAAATGTTCTTTTTTTAATTATTAGTAAATGAGCGATATGTCTTCTTCTATCCACATTGATATTGGTCATTGTTTACGTATGAACATTAAACAAATAAAAGATTAAATTATGATTATGAAAAATATTTATATATTTTATTTGCAATATTATTAATCATACGCCTTAGGTAATATGTATATATAATCCTGTACTAATAATTTTATTAATTCACCCTAACTGAAAAAGTATATAAGTACTCTTATTTTAAAATACAGAAGATTAAAGCTTATTTGTTTATTTTATCACATTTAAATTTACTTATTTTAATATTCATACTTATTATTGATTATTTCTTTAAAACAACATATTATTAAACATTCTTTCATTGTTTTTTTTTTTTTTGTAGTTTTTATTATAACAAATTTATATCTTCCCTTAAATTTTTTTAATATTGTTTAATACAAGGAAAAAAAGTCCAGCAATTTGTATTTTGCAGAGACAGCAGGAGAACAGTAGTAAAAGAAAGGAAACAGTTTTTTGTCAAAAAAAAAAAAAAAACAGAAATAATTTTGTCAGGATTATATGATTGGTGGGTAGAGGGTTAGCAGGAGGAGAAGGAATTTTCTATATTCAAGTATAATTTGTGGCTTCTTTTGCAGGATATTCTATGTTTACCATGAATTATGTCAGACTGAAAATTAAATATGACACTTCATAAAATATACATGCATACGAATGCTAATGTACCCACACCGAGATATAGATAAGTAGCGGACAGTTTCTACGAAGGTTGATTAAAGTTCGTGGTATGTGCTCTTATTTTAGTAACTAATTACTTTATAACATTTTCATATTTTCTTTAAAAAAAAGAGGCATTCATTTAGTGCAAATTATTATTATAATTTTTTAATTTTGATTTTTTATACCCTACACCACTTTAGTGGGGAGGGTATATTGGATTTGTGCTGATGTTTGTAACATACAAAAATATTCGTCCTAGACCCACCTTAAAGTATACCAATCGGCTTAGAATCGTTTTCTGAGTCGATTAAGCTATGTCCGTCCGTCCGTCTGGCTGGCTGGCTGGCTGTCCATGTAAACCTTGTGCGCAAGCTACAGGCCGCAATTTTCAAGATAATTTGATGAAATTTGGCATGCACATTTTGTTTGACCCAAGGACGAAGCCTATTGAAAATGGTTAAAATCGGTCAATTATTTCACCTAGCCCCCATAGAACAGAACCCCCCGAAAAGGGCTTCTGAGCTCATAATTATGTTAAATATACAGATATATCGATAATATACGGCACAACTAAGTTTTATAGAAGTCTTGATGACCCTGCCAAATTTCATAAAGATCGGGCCCCATTTGACCCTAGCTCCCATACAAAGTCCCCTTCAGAAAATTACTTGAATGTCCCAAATTAACTTATAAACACAAATATCGCGATGAAATTCAGCACAATAAAATATTATGTAAATATAAATATATTCACAAAATTTTATCGGGCTTGGTCCATATTTGCCCCTAGCCCCCATACAAAGCCTCTTTTAGAAAATTAGTTTTTCATTCATAAATTGCTTAAATGTATCGGAACAAGGGAATATTGAAGATAAATGCTTTATTATGAAAAATAAATCACATTTAATATTCATAACTGGTGTAGGGTATCATATGGTCGGCCTCGCCTGACTATACTTTCTTACTTGTTTATGGTTTTATAAAATGAGGTTTAAATTATATTTTTTTAATTTATCACTTTACCCTTGCACTTTATTTTATATTATCTATAACCACAAAAAGAAATTAATAAATACCTC